TATATATATATATATATATATATATATATATATATATATATATATATATATAAGAACGATGATCACCAAACAGCACAACTTGTACTATGGCATGAATGTAAGAATATATGGACGGAGCGCAAAGTGCGATTACAGACGAGGGGCTGTGAAGCCCAAGAGATGAGAGGATTACATCGTCGCGACCATCATGATGTCGGAGGTTTGTATCTATTGTCTATGTATAAAAACAGCGACCGTCGCCATCATGATATGTTAACTCCGTTAGAATACATATAATCATTCCTCTCACCCCTTGGGCTTCACCCCCGCGACAATATGCTCCATCCATATATTCTTACGTCCATGTACTATGGAGTTTACTTTTATAGTAAAGTGAAGTGGTACACTTTTTGATCAATAGCAATTACTGTTACAGTACTACAATTAGTGTAGTAATTTCTTCCATTTGAATATGTATAGAGAGATAAATAAATAAAAATAGCTCTAATAGCATAAAATGCCTGAGAACATGCTAGACGCTTAGAATGGCTCTAAGATGATTCTGGGAATATTTTGTGTTATTTTGGAGCTAATTAATTTAAAATGGCAAAATACTTCTGTGCTATTATCTTTACTAAAAATATTTTTGATACGAAATATATAATTATAATATTTTTAGGAGTATATTTTTACAAATTACTTGATATTTGATTGATAGCTTGTAATCTCTGTGTACAATTAAATGCCTATAATTGCTGGGAAATAATAATTTATATTCTAGCTATATAACATTTCAGCAATAAATATAACAGCTATATAACATTTTAGTAATACATTATATTTCTGTTATATAACGGCAACTTCGTATGAGTGGGAAATTATAACTAAGGCTGGAGTCCCATGGCATGTATTTTCCGCGTATCGCGTAAGTGCGTGACTAATAGATTTCGACGTTTAGTATTTTTGTTGGAACTTTTAAAAGAATAGAAAGATGTGATTGGTTACGCGGTTACGCATTACGCGAAAATACGTATGATGGAACTTCACCCTAACGTGTATGTTACATGTAACAAACATGTTATATTGTACGTCACATTCCGTTATATTACAACGATGTAACTATTATATTATTGTGTTTGCTGGGGAAATGATTCGTCCTATTTATTCTGCGATTATGTAATAGTTATTTCGGCAAAAGAGGAGTACCTGGGGCATTTCACAAATATGTAGAACAGATTACAAGTATTATTTTAATGATATATATTTTTACTTAGTCATAGTTTGCAGGGATTTTAGGCATGGTTCTTCTTGCTTCTGACGTCATCAATGCAATATGGTTGTGGTAACTGATCAGGAGCCTTAAAGCTACTTGATACTCGTATTTTCTATTTCTTTTTTAAGGATGTCAGAAGCGAGAAAACATACTAAAAATCCTTGTAAAATACATTGAAATAAAATATATTAAAATAAAAAAAGATATATCCGTAAAACAGTATTTGCGATCAATCGAATAAATCTATAAAATAGTCGGAACACTTCCTTTTTATTGTAACAATCAATAATATGCTGTTAATTATCATAACGCAATATATTTTTTTAACCTATCTTTTTGCATGATTCTAACATTTATTTATGATAAATTATTGATTGTTAGAGCAAACATGAAATGTTTGGACTATTTTACAGATTTCCTCTCAATTAATAGAGCAAATCTGTAAAATAGTCCGAACATTTCCTGTTTGCTCTAACAATCAATAATTTATCATAAATAAATGTGTTAGAATCATGCGAAAAGGTAGGTTAAAAAAATATATTGCGTTATGATAATTAACAGCATATTATTGATTGTTACAACAAAAAGGAAGTGTTCCGACTATTTTACAGATTTATTCCATTGATCGCAAATATCGTTTTGCGGATACATCTTTTTTTTATTTTAATATATTTTATTTTAATGTATTTTACAAGGATTTTTAGTATGTGTTTTCTCGCTTCTGACATCCCTAAAAAAGAAATGGAAAATACGAGTACCAAGTAGCTTTAAGGCTCCTGATCAGTTACCGCAACCATATTGCATTGATGACGTCAGAAACAAGCAGAATCATGCCTAAAATTCCTGCAAACTACGACTAAGTAAAAATATATACCATTAAAATAATACTTGTAATCTATTCTAGATCTGTTCCGAATTAGGAACGATCTTTGCTTTGTTTTTCTTAATAATGAGTCGATAAGTGAATACTAATAAATGAAAAAAAATATATATTTTTTTTATATCTTAAACTTTCGTTCATAAGCTTAAGTCATTGTCATTCAGTGGTCACTGCTTTTCATATTATCTCTAACTTTTAACTTGGATTGTATCACATTCTCCACACTCTCGACTATACTATGAACCAGACAAGAATAAGAGAGGAAACAAAGAACTTTTCACTCATCCCGTACGTCTCAAGAAGCAGCGCGCGTTTCAGGTAGTATATATTTCAGTGTTCGCGACCAATATCTGTCTTTTTCTAGTCTGTGCCAATCAGATTCATCAGATAGAGATAGAGACAGAGGTAGAACGCGGCCACTTGCTATCTCACTCACTCTCTGGACCCTGTTTTATATACGAACAAAGTAAAGGATAGTGCAGTCCATACTATATAGGTTGATGTGTACATACAGCTATACCATGGACGTAGGAATATCTGGACGGTGCGTATTTCGCGGGGAGTAAACTCACAGGGGTGAGAGGAATGAAAGTTGGAAGTGATCACCAAATATGGCAGCGGCCTATATTACGGAGCATAATAGCTGCGTTCGGCATCCGTGCCGGTTCGAGTCCCGACCTAGCAAAACCGCGCTCTCGATATTTTTCTCTCTTTGGAACGAAAAGATATGCAGATCTCGAACGCACGGCGTCCCGCCGCCACCTACCCAGCGAAAACGTAGACGTCAATTCGACGTCTAACCGACGTCGGAGAAGTCTAAGTTACGTCTAGTCTAAATGCATGTCTAGAAAAATGGCAATTTAAACGTCTTCTATTTTGAGTAAATTCTAATGTTTTAGAATCCATTCATAATATACTGGATCGCGCGCGTTTTGCATAAAAAATTTATTCTAAGTGGAAACGTCAGTTTTTTTTTAGATTTCCGATTCAATTATAGTATTACAAAAATAGGAATGTCAGATTACTTGAAAAACATTAAACTGGAAGGAATGATCAAAGTCATTTTGCAAATAACTACATAAACTTTAGAGATATTAAATAAAATAGGCGAATCAACGCGTGTATTTGCTAGGTACGTTATAATATACTGTGAACACTGTAAGTATACATTTTATAAGCATAAATTGTAAGAACATCATTGGAGTCATTGGAACACCGCGTGCCGCTCGATCGTCAGGTTAAGCAACGCAGTCAGGATGGATGGGTGACCACTTCGAATTCGAAATTATCAAGGCAGGATTCGCGAAAGTTTTAGCGTATGTTTGACAATCTTCGGTTTCTAGCAGTTTATAAGACATAAAGAAAATTAGGAATTAGTTATTTTTATGAAACAATCTAGTAAGAAATGACTTATTGATCGATGTCGAAAAGACGTCGAAATGACGGTCTATTAGACATCGATAAGACGTCGAAATGACGGTGTATTAGACATCTAAATGTGGACCGTTTTTAGGTCGATATAGATCTTAATTTAGATTAGACGTAGATGGTAGATAGACGTTTCATATAGACATCTAGTAGACGTCGAATCGACGTAACCTTTCTTGCTGGGTAGTACGCCCTCCTCCTTCTATGATGGATCCCCCATGGCGCATTGCGTTCAAGTACCCGGAGGCTGCCAAAAAATTGATGTCGACCCCGGGGCTATTTGTATTATTTGCACCGGATGAGGAGGGGCAATAGTGGAAACGGGCATATATGGACAGCAGATCTTAAAGGATAGCAATCTTTGACTTTGAGAGACTGACAGTTGTACCATTTGGTACAGTAATATTGTTTCTCTCTGTAGTTGCCGTGCGCTCGGGATTGCGCCAGAGATGTTGCTTCCGAACGGCATCTCTAAGCGTTATCTAAGGAGAGGAGAGTGTCGTGAGCATCAGGTAGTTCTGTGATTTAGAGCAATTGCTCGGCAAGCGAAAGACTCGGGTCCGAGTCCCGGCCTAGCAAAACCGCGCTCTCGATATTTTTCTCTCTCTGGAACGAAAAGATTTCGAACGCCCGGCCGCCACCTAGTAGACCCTCCTCCTTTGAATTAATAAAGTGCTGCTTTACGGATGTATCTTTTTATTTCAATTTCGTAAAAATTTTTAGCATGCCTTTTCTTACTTCTGACATCATTAAAAAGAAATGGACAATACGAGTATCTAGAACTCATATAGCACAAATCTCTAAAAGACTTCTTAAAGAGTTTCAAAAGAGTACCCAAGTCTGCAAGAACACTTTTGGAATTCTTTAAGATATCTTTTAAAGATTTGTGCTATATGGGAAACCTTAAAACACAAATGTTTAAAGATCTGCAGGAGTCATAGACATAGAATTAACTTTGGAGACCTCCGCCCGTATTCTGAGTTCTCTTTTAACGATAAATGAACTTCTAAAAAAGGCTTGAGAGCCACCTGAGTCAAGGCTGAGAAGCTACATTTAAGGCACTTTTATTGATGAAAGAGGATTCAGAATATAGGCTCTCGTATGTATGGCTTATGGACGTAGAAATATCTGGACGGAGCGTAAAGTATTTTTATGAGTGCGGGGTGTGAAGTCAGCGCGGTGAGGGAAAATCTTCGTCGCGGCCATCTTTGGTGATCAAAAGTGACATATGCAGGGTGTCCCACAACTGGTAGAACACCCGTTAGGGGTAGGTAGGGGGTGCAATTTGGGACTGAAAGTTCCTCTTCCATTTTTGGATCCGACAATTAGTTAATGAGATATTAATCAATTAAGTCTGCCAATCTCTTAGTGCCCTGAGTAAGTGCTCAGGGACGTAGGACGCCGTGGACTTCTCAGGGGCCCTGCTTGTTTGTTTTTCTTCCTTTTTTGTACACATACATACTAAAATTGTTCACGATACTCAACTATCATGCAGAAAACATTTAAGTCACCCGTGCACTCGAAGGAAGCATATCACACATCCCTCCCTCTCCGGCACATAAAGTGCAATCACTCCGCTCACTTGCACTAAAAATATTCAAATTATCCATGCACTCATTGCCGCACACAAAAACACCCATACATCACCCCCACACATTGAAAACTTGCCACCCCCTAGCCTCGGTCAGACACCCATCCACACACCCACTCACTCACTCACTCATCCATATTTATTTCTCTGCGATACAAAAAAGAGGAAAAAAGCAAGATCCCTAACAACACGGATAAGCAGGGTCCCTAAAGCCCGTATCAGACTACCGACTGCACAGGCCGACCCGACTACCGACTACGACTGCCGACTGGCGCGGAGTCGGCGCCTCACTGTGATTGGTCTATTGAGAGTCGGCAGTCGAGTCGGCCTGTGCAGTCGGTAGTCTGATACGGGCTTAAGGACCACGGTGTCCTTACAGCCCTGAGCGCTCACTCGGAGCGCTAAGGGATTGGCTGACTTTATTAATTAATATCTCATCAACTAATTGTCGGATCCAAAAATGGAAGAAGAACTTTCAGTTCCAAATTTCACTCCCTACTTACCCCTAATGGATGTTCTACCAGTTGTGGGACACCCTGTATGTACGACATGTGTATATATGACATAGATCGAGGATTTTAACCTTTGTGGTGAAAGGTCTTTATGGATAGGACTATATATTTCATAGTAGAAAATGCCGGATTGTTACGCGAAACATTGTAAAAGCCGGAAAAATAAAATACAACTAGAATGGGAACGTAAAAATGGTAAAAGACTATCATTTCACAGGTATGTTTTAATATAACAGACAGTTGCAGTCAAGGTAAAACTTTATATTTATACATACATACGTATTCACACTCATACATACGTATTCATTTTGTATATTTTCCTATACACTATATCAAGATAAACAATAGGTGCATTTGATATTGTAAATTGAAGACCTCGGATTGCTCTTTCATCTCGAAGATGCATAGAAATGAAAAAGATACGAAATCTCGTATCTTTCACTTCTGTGCATTTTCGAGGTAAAAGAGCAATCCAACGTCTTCGATTTACAATGCCGAATGCAGCTATTGTGCTCCGTGATATAGGCCGCCGCTATATTTGGTGATCACTTCCGACTTTCATTCCTCTCATCCCTGTGAGATTATTCCCCGCGAAATACGCATCGTCTAGATATTCCTACGTATATGGTATAGTTGTACACATCGACCTATAGTATGGACTGCGCTATCCCTTAGGGCCGTGGCACACAGAAAAACTTAAGCGGTAAGACATAAGAAGTAAGCAAATTGACCAATCACAGTCGTTGATTTTTGAACCGTAAAAAGAATCAATGACTGTGATTGGTCAATTTGCTTACTGCTTACGTCTTACTGCTTAAGTTTTTCTATGTGCCACCAGCTTTAGTTTGTTCGTATATAAAACAGGGTCCAGAGAGTGAGTGAAATAGCAAGTGGCCGCGTTCTATCTCTGTCTCTATCTGATGAATCTGATTGGCACTGAACTTGACTACAAAAAGATAGATATTGATCGCGAAAATTGAAATATATACTACCTGGAACGCGCGCTGCTTCTTGAGGCGTACGGGATGAGAGAGAAGTTCCTTGTTTCCTCTCTTATTCTTGTCTGGTTCATAGTATAGTCGAGATTGGGGAGAATGTGATACAATCTAAGTTAAAAGTTAGAAATAATATGAAAAGCAGTGACCACTGAATGGCAATGACTTAAGCTTATGAACGAAAGTTTAAGATATAAAAAATATATATTTTTTTCATTTATTAGTATTCACTTATCGACTTATTATTAAGAAAAACAAAGCAAAGATGGTTCCTAATTCGGAGATTCAATTATGTTTAGAAATCAGTCGACTTAGCTTTTGATTCATGGCTCCTGCACACAGGACGCGGTAATGCTTGCCGCGCGACAGCCAATCAATATGTTGTTTTTCCGTAAGAGCTAGAAGGTTATTACGGAAAGCACCATATTGATTGGCTGTCGCGCGAACTTCCGCCGCACGGCAAGCATTACCGCGTCCTATGTGCAGGAGCCATCAGATTTACTAGATAAAGATAGAGTGCTGTTCGAGACCTACAAGCATGTTCTCTCTCATCCCGTAATACTCAAGAGGTAGCGCGCGTTCCAGGTAGTATATATTTCAGTGGTAGTATATATTTTGGTGATACCAACACATTGCGATACCACAGTCAAAGTCGACTTTGACTGACTCTGCTTTTGCTGAGAGTTGAGTGGAGTTGCCAATACATACGAAGGAAAAATTGTCCTGGAGTACAATACACATTAAAAGTCTATATTGCCTTGTTTACATCGACACTGTTTAATCGTATAGTAACCTCAAAATTTCATAAAATATGGCAATAAAGGTTGTGACGTGGCAGCCGTAGAGGCGCCTGTCACAAAGGGATGAGCATCGATTTTGCGAATATTTCCGCCACCGCGACCGCGCACGCGTTTTGTTTCCTGTACGCCGGCTTTCGCCGCCGGTTAAGCATTCCGGAGAGTTTTGCGGAGCAGATAGAGTGGTCATCGCGCCTCGAGTTTTGTGCCCCCAGACTCCCCTTTTGGTCGACCAGCGGGCAGGAGAAACCCAAGGACGCCGTGGGACGGAGGAACATCGCCTACACCACCACCGCTACCGCTCAGGTGATTATGCTCCTAGTCTAATTGACGATTTTCTTTTCCGCCGACTTCCAGAATCGTTCTCGAAAATTTGATCGCTATCGAACAGAGAATGTTCTGGAATCGTCTATCGCGTGCCGGAATATTCAATCGCTCACGAATATTCAGCAACACGATAATTGTCACCGTCACCGAGCTCCAAAGCTGTCGCGCTGTTTACCTTTTCAGCTTGACGTTTAGCGAGGGGCCAGGGGGGTCCACACAGCTAAGACGGAAAACAATACCGCTTGATCGAGGATCGGTCAGAAGCAGTGACGTATCGCGGATCAAGGCCACGAGATACGTCGTCGAGAGGAAAAATCTCGAAGTAATAACAATCCCGGCTGCCGAAATTTCGAGATCAAGGAAGGATTGAGAGCAGGCGAGAGGTCGAGAGCAGGCGAGAGATCGAGAGAGGCGGCGGAGGCGGAGAAGTGGATCAGCGATCGAGAGAACGAGGAAGATCCGAGCAATCAATCTCTCACCGGTTACCGACGCGACAACTCGAGCGAACGTTCCGAATTACCGTTTCCGAGACCAGCGAGTGTCGCGAGAGAGTAGGAGAGAGAGAGAGTGCGAGCGAGGACGAGTGCAGCGAGAGAGTGCACGGAGCAAGCGCGCGAGAGAGAGAGAGAGACAGACAGACAGACAGACAGACAGACAGACAGACAGACAGACAGACAGACAGACAGAGAGAGAGAGAGAGAGAGAGAGAGAGAGAGAGAGAGAACACGGTGCCGTGTGTTGTAACAATGGCAACGATTGAACGCGAGAAAGTCGATGTCGTCGTCGAAACCCACATAACGTCAGCGCGTGCTGTTCATCGATCTCACGCGCGAGCTTCGCTGTGTGTTTCCGTGTGCGAGATGCGCGCATACACACAACGTATACACACACACACACATATATTCGACATACACGCCGCACCGACGCTCACACGGAAGAGGAGAGAACCCGAGCGTGCAAAGGGGTTGGTCGCGCGCGCGCGCGCGCGCGTGTGCGTGTGCGCGCCTATGTACAGGTTGTACATACATATCGGTCGGCGCTATCGATTTTACCCATGTGGAACTTTCCCCTA